TTCTACACTTTTTTTCCCCGTTAATACATTTAACAAATAACTGACTGCCAATTGCAAAACAAGAAAACATAAACCTTTTAAAAAGGGCGTGAACTTTATTCACAAAAGATTCTCCTTATAAACCAAGTCAAGATCTTTTGAATGCAGATAACAGAAGACGCGGTTGAATCAAGTTACAATATTAACCTCTCCTTCCTTTAGACGTCAAGAACAAATATAACAATACAATTGAACCAAATCTTGGATTAAGGGCAAATTAGTCATCTCGCAGACTTACTCCCAAAAATGGTTACACCCCTATTTCCTGCAGCCCTACCGGTAAACAGGAAACAGGCGTTTCCACCTGTTTGATGGCGACAGCGCCACCTGACTTCCCCGGAATCAGCTACTTCCACGTCATCACCACGTCTGATTCTCCGTACAGATTCGGGGGAGACAGTTTCTTTTTCCGAACGTTGACGGCCATGATTGCGTCTTCCTTTCTAGATCCGACGGTTGTGGACTGCCGTTCTAGAACTTTTCCGATTCCCCTCCTGTTAAGGGTCCCCCGGGTGCTTATATTTTAACTTGACTAAAAAGCCCCCCCTCTTAACAGTCACTCTTTTTTATTTTTAGGAAACTTAGTAAATTTGGGCTTTCCCATTTTAGTCCTTGTAGGTCGGTCGGTCGATCGATCGATCTCGCATTATCTTTCCATATTTGTTTTATTAATTGGTGTTGCTTGTTGCCTTGAAAATATTAGAGATGACCAAAATTAGTTCTTCTAAACCTTTCTAGTTTATAATCAATTAAATAAATCTTAATTAATGTGTAAAAATCTATAGATGCCATTCCCTAATCATATTTTAAAATATGATAAAAAAAAATTAAAACCAGCAAGATTGAGTTTAAGTTTGAAGGCAAATTAAATATATTTTAAAAAAATTAATTTTGAGATATTTTTTTGTATTATTTTTTATATAACTTGACATATCATTTCAATAATTACTTTTTTAATTCATGTGAAATCCGTGATATTAAATATATCAACTTATTTATTGACATATGAAAATTATATAAAAAATAATATAAAAAAATTATTCTTATAACATCATTTTTAAAAAAATAAGGATCCTTTCCATTTTTGTTTTCTCTAACAATAAGAAGGAAAAGGTCATCTTAGAATGCATTTGAATAAAGAAAAATCTCATCTCTTTTCTCATATTTTTCAAATTTTTATTATCTAAACAAGTTAGCATTGTTATATTAAAAATTACTTTGATGTCATTTCTTTAAATTTGTATTCACAATTTTTTAACCTTTATTTTTTAAAAAAATTAATGATGGAATAACTATTTATGAATCTATTTACACAAATAACATGTTTATGGATAAATTAAGCTTAACAAAACGAACAAGAAACGTTTCATTTGGGCATCCACAAATCACAATGCACCTAGCTTGACTTTAAAATGTGTGCATTCAAGAATTACTATAACCGTCTCCAAAAATCAAATTCCAATAAAATTTAATTAAAAAAAATGAAATAAATGGAAAAGCAAAAAGACAAAAAAGGGCATTTTAGTAATTCAAAATAAACGGACTTTCTCCTCGGCGGCATCATGTGATTTGCTCAGTACTCAGTAGTATATAACAACATTCCCCCCTCCAACCAAAAGCCACAGCGCAGAAGACCGGCTGGAGAGAGAAGGTCACAGGAGGGTAACCATGGCGGATTGATCGCCAAATCACAGCCGTTGTTCTTTGATACGCCGTGTCCTCTCCGGCTTCCATCGGCCGTGGTTCCTCCTCCGCCTCCTTCTTCTCTGTGGATCGCCACCTCAAGATTCTTGCAAAGCTCGGTAGATTTCATTTCTCCAAAATCTGGTTTTCTTCCAGTTCTTGGAGTTTAACGTTTAATCTTAAAGGTCTTTGATTGTTTTATTAATTTGTTTGTTTAATGCTCTGTTTGGTTGGAGAGAAACCTGTGGAAAAGAAAAGAAAGCGAGCCTTTCCGTTTTATTGATTCTCCTTTTGACTATGTTGGAGTAATCAACTCTGTTAGTGCCATCAATGTTATATTTGTCCGATTCTTCTAGTAAAATGCTTGAACTTTTCAAGATTTTCTAAACCTGATTCCAGATTTCTTTCCTTTTTCTTTTTTCTTAGCAACCAAACTGTGTACCAAATTGGAGTTTAGGTAACTTTCGCAAAGTGTAGATACTAGGAGATTTGGGCGCTTCTTTGTCATTATTTCATTTATTCTTCATAAAATCTTAGTTCATTATAGTCCTGCATCGGATCGGAATGCTATATGCCTATGTCTTGGATATCTTTGTTTGTGTCTGGTAAATGAATTGATTGGTCGAAAAATGAATGAATGCTTCTATTTGAAATATGATCTTTTGTTTGGTAGATGAGTCTCTTATACGATCACTTTAATTGATCTTGTTCTTGCAAATATATTTATCTCAGTTTGTTGTGGAGCTTTGTTCTGAAACTTTTAAGACAATAAAAATATGAACTGAAGCCAATTTTAGCTCTTTTTGCATATTTTCAAGGGCTTGATTAGGTACAGTCTTTCAGGTTTATCTTTTGTATTTGATCAATAACTAGAAGATTAGTTAGTTTAGGAGTTGGTAAAGCTGGTTGTGTCAATGGAACTCCCAAAAATTTTGAAACAGTTAAATTAGAAGCTCATCAAAACAAGTATAATGAAATTTCTTAACTCTTGAAATTTGTTTACATGCTTCAACAATTTTCTTAACGAATGTAGAGGTTAGTTTATGCATATGTTAGAGGTTTGTATACACATTACACAGATTCACCATGCCACTTATCTATTAACGTATTTCTTTTTTCTTTTCTTTTTTTTTTTTCAATTTTCCAGTTTACTGAATCTTGCAGCTCCATCAGATGGCTTCTGTAGTGTTGCTGTTTTGCTAGGCTATTCCTGTGGATACACTGGTTTTCTGTCGCAAACCTGAGCAATTGTTGGAGGCTTGAAACAGCTAATACGGTCCTGGGTCAGTTAATGGTTGTTTGGTATGCATGTAGACCTCTCACGCAACTGTTATCTGTGTGCTTGTGTTTGGCACATGCTTGAGAGATAAGAAACAACTCTTTCATGGCACCACCTCTGTTGCTGACCTCGTAAACTGTGATTTTTATTCACCTTGCCATGGCTGCTAAGTTGGACAGGCTGGTTCAGACCCCATTGGCCTTTGTTTTTGATGGCCAATGCAACGGTGATTACCATGAGTACATGGTGGCAAAACCTGCTGCAAAAAGGCGGGTCTTTGTGCAGACAGACAGTGGCTCTGTCTTGGACCTGGAATTGGATAGGAATGACAATGTTCATACAATTAAAAGGAGGCTGCAGCTTGCCCTTAATGTCCCTACAGATGAAAGTTCTTTGACATTTGGGGATCTTACACTAAACAATGATCTTAGTGCCATTCGAAATGATTCCCCGCTGCTTCTCTCTAGGAAATCTATTCATCGGAGCTCATCCACTCCATGTCTCTCACCTGGTGTGGAGAATCTTCAAGAGAGAGATCAGAGTGGTCCAATTGAAATATTGGGGTGCTCAAATCAGTTTGATAGAACTTCTGAGCTGGTGCAGGACATTGTTGAGGCAATCAACAATGGTGTTGATCCAATCCCTGTCAATGGTGGGCTTGGTGGTGCTTACTACTTTAGAAACAGCAGAGGTGAAAATGTGGCTATAGTGAAGCCAACAGATGAGGAGCCTTTGGCACCAAATAATCCAAAAGGCTTTGTAGGGAAAGCTCTTGGGCGGCCAGGCCTGAAACGTTCAGTGCGTGTTGGTGAAACAGGATATCGAGAAGTAGCAGCCTACCTCTTGGACTATGATCATTTTGCTAATGTGCCTCCAACTCTTCTTGTAAAAGTTACGCACTCAGTCTTCAATGTCAACAATGGTGTGAATGGAAACAAGCTTCGAAACAGGGAGAAAGTCAGCAAGATTGCATCACTACAGCAGTTCATTCCTCATGACTTTGATGCCAGTGACCATGGAACCTCAAGCTTTCCTGTTGCAGAAATTCATAGGATTGGGATGTTGGATATCAGGATCTTTAACACTGACAGGCATGCAGGGAACCTCTTGGTTAGGAAACTTGGTGGGATTGGGGGTTTTAGCAAGGTGGAGCTCATTCCAATTGATCATGGCCTTTGCCTACCTGAGAGCTTGGAGGACCCATATTTTGAGTGGATCCATTGGCCTCAGGCATCAGTTCCTTTTTCTGAGGACGAACTTGAGTATATAAAGAATCTTGATCCAATTCATGACTCTGAAATGCTGAGAAAAGAATTGCCAATGATTCGGGAGGCTTGCCTCCGTGTTCTGATACTGTGCACAATATTTCTGAAGGAAGCAGCTGCTTTTGGACTATGTCTTGCTGAGATTGGTGAGATGATGAGTAGGGAATTCCATCACCAACAGGAGGAACCAAGTGAACTTGAGTTTATTTGTCTTGAGGCAAAAGATCTGGTATCGGAGGGGGAGCTTTCATTCTTTGGAGCTGATGATGGACATGCTGATGAGATTCAGTTTGACATAGATTGTGAGGCTGGAGAGGTAGATCTTGTCTTGAAGATGTCTGAAGATATGTCTGACAAAGTTTTTGGATCCGAAAGTGCCAATGGTCAAATCCTTCTACCTAAAGTAGAAGAGAATTTTGAAGAGTCTGAAGTTAAGATGGATAAAGCACAGGTTGGGGCAGGAAGAGTTGGTCTTAGGCCAAAACAGGAATGGTCCCAGATTGCTTCAAGGTTGTCCCTCTCCCTGAAAAAGGTCAACTTAGATGGGAGAAGCTACCAGTTCAATGGTGGGAAATCAAAGGATTACTATAGGATTACAAGAAGTGCAAATGAACAACTTCCCACAAGCACCAGTTACGTAAACCTTGCTGATATGAACGAAGCGGAGTGGGCTCGTTTTATTGAAAAGTTCAAGGAGCTTCTTTATCCAGCCTTTGCCAAGCAAAGGGCACAAACAATTCGACAAAGACAGAGGCTCGGAACTTCATGCCGGTTTTGAGATGGTCAAGTAGCCTGTTGATGTAGAAAATCGGATGCTGAAGAATATAACCCTTTAGTACTATAGAGTTCGGAACACAGGAACACTTCTTTCATCTTTTTTTTTTTTTTTTTTGGCTGGAAGAAGACATTACGGTACGTAACAGTAGCCTAAGATGTAAATATTCTTGGGACCCTGAGGTTTAGTAATAAGATTAGTAACAGAAATACGAAAGATATTACATCAATTTCTCTGTTTCTATGATCTCATTTCCATCTTGTGAATTTTGTGGGATTCCTAAGTGGCCTTACTAGTATATGATATAATAGCATTTATATCGTAATCGTGTGTGAATAGGTAGTTGACTTGTGCAGAACGGAAAAGCAGTATATATATATATGACCAAATATGTGCTCAAGTTCCAAATTATCCCAGCTATAGATGTTTTCAGAATTTAACAGGCAATGGCCAGTGACTGGTAATATTAAGCAGAAAGACTAGTGAGGATGTTACTGCAGCATTTGAATGGAAAACTGGATATTGGGTTAAGTGTGAGGCTTTCTGTGCTGAGGAAATATGAGTGTGGACGTGAAATGATTAGCTCACTACTACTTATTGTCTGATTTAAAAGGGAGTTTGGGATTAGACCCAACTCATACAGAGATTAGTTGCTGCTTTTGCAATTTGCAAAAGTAAACTGGAATTACGTGAGAAATAGCTGTGGTAGGGGGCTACATTACAAGAAAATGAGAGATAGGTAGTGAGATTATTGTCAGAATATATCCAACAATGGATAATTTATCGGGATTTGGCAAAAGGTTACTAACTGGGCTTTATGTGCTCTAATGTCTTGGACTTGGACCTAAGGAGAGCCGGTTTCCATTTCGAAGTTGAACGAACACCCCTTGAAAATAAGAATTATAAAGGCATGCACAACGAAGATGTACGCTGCAAGACATGGAATGGAACTTCCGGCTGTGAAAAACAACAGAATTTTTAAAAATCCTCAAAAAAAAAAAGGGGTACATATAAAAACATTAAAATAAGGTACAGTCTAATTCGTTGCGATAAAGAAAAGAGAAAAAAAAAATCTACTTGTATTTCAAGAATAAATTGGCATATAATTTAAATTATATTAAATTATAAAATATAAATTATTTAATAAAAATAAATTTATTAATATTAAAAGTTATTTTTAAATTATAAAACAAAAAAACTCTTACAAGCCCTTTCATAAAAAAA